GTTCATTCTCGTCCAAAATTCACATCACCAACGATCAAGGACACAACGTACCCAAGTGGGACGGGGGTGAAGAGACGAAAAGTCAGACCCCACCCCACCGAAATTTTCATCCTCGCTCGGTAACTCACTCAACAAGTACTTTCAATCGTCTATTAATAAATCAGTTCGGTCCGACTGGACGGGGTTTTGATAGACCCGGTCCAGTCCGTGAGATGTGGCGGAAGAAGAACCAATCACTTTGTGGGTTGAAGTTGAAAAGGTATGGACGTACCATTCTGGCCACAATGGTCGTCGGAATCCGTCTTCATAATTCTCCGTTCGTTCCCCAGAACATTTCGATCTACCAGGTGATTCACCAAACCGGAAACACCCTGTTAAGTAGAATTTTTAGTTGCAGTTCGCAGGCACGAGGATCAAGGATTGCCACTTGATACAGATTCATTGGATAAAAATGCAAATAAACCTTAGCTGAACTTTCTACCCAATGGCGTGTTTCCGACTTAATCAATCCCTTGGTAGTTCTCGCTCTCTCGCAGTTTGTGGCTGTGTTCGGTATCTTTTGATGTGGTCCTGATAACGAACCAATTTTGATTACTCAACCGTTTTGGGGGGACGGTATAGTTTGAACTCTAATTCAGGAGTCAAATGAGGTTGGTTTTGATCACGAACGATAATCCACGTACATGTTAATTTTTTTAAGCGCTCCTGTTTTCAGTCAGTACTCCTCTCGCTGCAAGTAATTTCCATTTGCTAGAGAAAACATGAGTTTATATGTAACTGACCTAACAATTTCAACGCATGGGTGTTGACGCTTGCGCCTCATCTGATACTCATAATTTTTGGGATCAGTGATCAATGTTGATCATTTGTTTTGATGAACGCCCCCGTATTGTACACTGATTCGATAGAGTTAGTGAAGGCTTTGAAAGGGGAGGATCCGTATCTTGGGTTGTGGCAGTGCGGTGATCCAGGCCTACGTGATGACGCCTACCCTGGAGCGGCGTGTTACAGTTTCTGCGATCAATCACATTTGAAAGGTGACGTCAATGACTCGCGTACGGCTTCTGACTACACCCTATAGGTAGGTTGTGCCAGCCAATCTGAGACAGTGCAAACAGAAGCAAAATTATGCAAGCAATACTGCAATCCGATTGGTGGAAGCCTAGATAACCAATGATCATCTTGTGTACATGTTATTTAATCGCCCTCATTTCTTTCAATAAACGAACTACGAACTATCATTCTTGCGGCCTTTCCCTCGCGTCTCAGTTGCGTGGGACATTGTGTGTTAGTGCCATTGCGGTCCAGTGCTTCCGTAACCCAGTCCATGATAACTGATCCTTGATTCGTGTCCTATGAATCCTGTTGCGTGGTTCGTGTTCCGTGGATATTACTACTAATACTACTGCGATCATTGCAGGTAACCCGGTGGTAAAGGCCACCAAATTTCTATAATGAGTAGTATATGAATGACTGAACAAATTCCTCAGAAGCACACCACCGGTTTCACGTTTCTTGCCGCTCGTCACTTATGCGTATCCGATAGTCTCTTGTCTGGTCAATAACACCTAGTACAATATCATCGCAATGATTCTTCAAAGCTTGTTTGTCTCATATTCAACTCTCCGAGCTACAAATGAGATTTGCGTTGTTTAAGGTCATCAAATGATCACCCCCCGAGGACGTGTGTTCAAATCCCACCAACACCACCGGACTTTCCCCAGATGTGTTGTATGACATCCCTTTGATTCACCGCTTCTTGCTTCTGTAAATTTCATGATTGTATATTCATTGAAAGGAAGTTAAAAAATGAAAATTGGACCTGAGTGAATAACGGTCTCACCCACGCAGTTGCACTTTCAGTTTGAAAAATGGCACATCAGCACATCATTGTTACTGTCTCTTGTCGGGCACTTTTTAAGGAGCACATGGAAGAGTTAGATAGCTGAGAGCAGTACCAAAAAGATACGGAATGCAGGCAAACATAAAGTGTATACAACTAATGTCCAGATGACAGAGTATCACTGCCGATGACAATCAATCAAATATAATTTAATCTCACCAGTAATTAAATAGATCGTTTTTCTCCCGACACCTAAGCCCAATGTGGTCCAGTTTTCCGGTCCAATTTTTGATAACCTCACGTGTTTTTCATGGATTTATCACTCTTGCGAATTCTACATACCTCACCAAACGTTACAGGCGGGCAAATCCAGTCCGATGACATGCGTAGCACAGGCACTGTAATCTTTGGAGGTGTGTTGTTACGTGACGTCGAGTACCTCGTGATCTTTATTTAACGTCAGCTTTGCGCTTGGAATCGTGTGAGGCGATGTCGACAGAGGTTTTCAAGCACGGGCAAACATGCCCTCAGAAATCCCCCTCTACACATCTGTCACGAGNCACGAGTTAATTCACGCGATTAATAAGCATCTTTCCACACACTGTATTTCAGTCACTGACAAGCGGGATGGATGACGACGAGCAGGCCTCAGGCACCAGTCGACTCAGCGATGGTGAATTTCCACCGCCCAAACCCACCACCTCCTCTCGACCCGGACCAACAAATAATCCCTTGCTCGAGTTGATGGCACTTCAACAGTCCACCTATTTCCACGGATCGAGTCTGACCAATCACGAACGTGATCAGGTGCAACGCATCGCTTCCGATCTTCGTAAAGCTCATAAACAAGCTCACCAATTCGATTGGCTCATCAGTCTCTCCGGACTGGGAGACCGTATACCATCCAGGAATATGTCCAACCCAATCAGTTCGTGTTCGGTCAAATCCACCGATTCGGATGGTCACCTTTCGATGGAGAACCAAAAAGAACAGATGGTTGAACACACTGGACCGCGTTTAACCGTGCGATCAGATGAATCGGGCTCATCCAGAGAATCGTTATCGGTTGGAGAAAATCCTTCGATAGAAGATTCAGGGAAACCTGCAGGTTAGTGCTCCGTTGTTCTCTCATAGTCAACGGTTAATGTAAGAAACTCTTTCTTGGATGTTCACATGGGCACTACCTGTTTCATCCACAGAGGCATAAGTCTGATTCCAATAGTGCCGAAGCTGTTAGCGTCCGTTTTGTTAAGCAAACTAAGCACATTTGACGAAAGACAAATCCACGAAGAACAGGCTGGGTTTATTGCACAACGTGGTTGCATAGATCAAATATTCAACCTTTTCAGTAGCTATAGCATCGCTACAGATATAGACGGCAAACTATTGTCTTATTTTTGAGCATCAGAGCAGCCTTGGACTCCGTCGATGATTCTGTGTTGCGGGACTGTTTGCTGAGATACGGAGTACCAGAGAATTATGTCCTGCTTCTACAAGTACTCAACCATCGGACCTCGGGAATGTTAGGACCTAAGGTGAACTTTCATCAGGTACGACATGGTTGTCCTGTCTCTCTGTTTCTCTTCAACTTTTCCAGAGATGATATTCCGCGAAAAACGTTGCTTAATGTAGTCTACGCTAGCATCGTGCTTCCTCCAGGAGACACCGTAGTGTCATCTTACGTGGATTAGAAACACCGCGTTTTTGACGTGCTTTATTTGAACTTGTTGGAATATCGCATTCGCGGCCACTTGGTTCATTGATTATTAGATCGGCAAACTATTTGCACTTACATATAATTGCAGAAATCAATAATTGAATTGGGCCTAGTGGGCTAAGGACGAAAATGAGTAAATATTAATCCATTATTGATTTTGCTCTTGAATACCGGCAGCTTATAGGAAGAATAAACATAGTACAAAGTACGAGAAGACTGTTTCACAACTGTGCAGTAATTGGAAAAATCTTATTTGTTCTTGCACTTGTTCATACTTCGTCGCGGAGTCGCCTCAGTCGACCTCCACATGGTCCTCTCTCTCTGTCTGAGGAGAAACTGCTGGTAAGGTGCTGCGTGACAAACGAAAAGCACATAGACACAATCAGTGTCCTGATCAGTGAAGTCTACTGGTCTGAATTCGGTGTGATAAACAGTGTTTCACCGAAGCACAACAGCGGCTTACCTCGGTGTTGCCACCACCCCACACCACTCCCTTTCCACCATACTATCCACATGTTGATTGTCTTACAACTGTTGGGTTCGGCTGACGGTACAGTACCATAGTGCACTTGATTGTTGAACTTAAACTGACGAATCCGGTCGTCTTAGGTCCGCATTCATTGGTGTTCACTTCCCGAGCTTGTAGGCCGGTATGCACAAATGATAAACTTCAACAGGAAGCAAAACTCATATCTGGTGCTTTCTGAGTGTTCGGTTCAGAGTGTTGAAATTAGGTAACGATACTGAGCTTGATGTGGAATCATGATTTATTCGTGAATAAGTTATTCAGAACATTCAGAACAAGTTATCAATCGTTTTCAACAAAAAAATCAATCAGTATCCTTCCTTCCTTTTGGAAATACGATGTCTGCGGTTTTTCACTTGAAAACCTAGAATACTGATTGACAGTACGTTTCATGGGACAAAATTTTGTGGATGGTTGCAACTGAAAGATAAAGTCCCCTTTTCTACAGTCTCATTTTATATATGTATGGTTCGTGCTTACTTGCTCCTCTGAGGCAACCTACATCGACCAGGAGCTTACCTACAACAGTTCGATGAAACCATCCAACAAGGTTGAACACTGAAAACACTATAAACATTGCAAGTGTGATTGTATAAATAACACAGTCAAGTCGCACAGTGAATGTGAATTTTGCGTTTTATCCTGTCTGTCGTGATCCCGGTCACCCATCTATGCCGCTTAAAAATTGCATGCTAGTCGAAGCGGACGACATTTGTTTACATATCCCGCCTCTTGTTCGTCCATAACCAATTTGCGAAATCACTTCGTCTCCCTCCCCCTCAGCTCCCACAGTCCAGTCCTCCTTGGTTTCAAGAGTATAACTACGTTCGATTTACGGAACGGGACTATTGTGTAACAATGTGTACAATGTGTAATAATGGTATATTGGAACTGGAACAGGTGACAACCCTCAATTCCCCCACATTTGTCTTACACATCATAAAAAAGTTGATCAATCGCCGAGACTAAAATTGTTTGCTTGTTTGTGTTCTTTAGAGATACTGGGTTGTTTGGTTAACTTATGTGCCTGTGTCTTCTCTGCCCTCCTGCAGCGTCACCGGAAGCCCCAGATCAACATAAACAGTCTCCAACGGACACGTTGGAAATGGTGCATGCGGTGGACTCAGACGCCTCGACGTTGAATGACCCTGTTTACGAGGATGACTATGTCACCGACTCAACTGCATGAACTGCATGGTGTGTACTTTTGTTTCTACCCGCCCTCCCCCGGAACTCCTCTTCGTACTTTCCAAAATGAAAACAAAACAGAATGACATTCTTTCTAAATCGTTTAACTTGTTCCATTCCACACCCGACCAGATCACGAACAAATTTCCCTCTATCTCATTCTAACTGAGTTCGATATTTGGCATCTGTGATCTCTGCAGCATTAGTCTTCGTGGTTTCTTGTAGTTCCTGTTTTATTTGACACGTTTTTGCGATTCTCANATACTCGTTTGCCACCCGGTCTCGGACACGTCCACATTGCGAAGTTCGGGAAACCGCGGTCTTGCGACCAGATAGATGTAAACCTTCACGGGGAGAACAGATTATCAGCGAAAACGCGCTGCCTATCTGTAGTGAACCACTCTACTTCTGAAGTAGAAAGTGGCGCGTAAACTTATAAGATTTACCTCATTTCACGAAAGTACTGCGACGATTGAAACATAGGCAAATCAAGAAAATGGTGTTGTTCACACGGCAGAATAATGTCTTGGGTTGGATCTGTTGAAATATTGCATTATAGTTCAAGGGATTGGATACAATAGTAACATGCCAGATGAAAATGATGTCATTTTACCCGATTTACACGCTGGGGCAGATTTTACTGCATCTCAACTGGTACGGCAGAAAACAGCGACTTTTCGGGTCCGTACCATGACTTTTCATCAATAGATTTAGGGCCATAGATTATGCAGGTTTTTTGTGTGTTCGGTGTTCTTGAGAAAGGGTGGAGGTTGGCAACAGTGTAATGTGATTGGGGGTGTTAGCGGTGAGTGATGCGAGTATGTGGGTTTTAGGGATCGAATTGAATAGTGACCTTTGATCTTCTTCGATTCGGTCAATCGGCGTCTAGTCCAACATGGGATGTGATCTTGGACCCTTGTATACAACTGCCCGTCGATTCTGTCAATGTAAGATGCTCCGCATCCACATTCAAACAGGGAAATGACGTGTGATTTGGCGGACAGTAGCGTGGGTTGCTTTGTGGGTGGTGGTGGTGTTGTTTACCACTTTTTTCAATCGCTCTTGGAAAATCAGCCTGACATTGTAGCCTTTGAAATGAAGGCAACTGTAGACCAAATTCTAAGGTACGTTATATACTGCTGGTTTTTGCGCTGGTGTCCGACTGAACTTTTTAATAAAACTGTCCAGGTAGCCGTCCTCGATCAGAATTGATTGGACTAGGTCTAACTCCGCTTGCAAGCTATCCTGGGTACAAATACGACAATATGCTGGATGGAATAATGTTTTTGCTATACCGTACTCGTAGTTGGTTGGTACAAAGCTATAAAAGTTTAGAAATTGACCCGTCCATAAACTCTTTCGGTATCCAGTCCTACGAATCGTTCCGTATTCCCTCCTGGTTGGCGTCCGTGTCGGTGGTTGGGGATCGAATGTATAAATCAAAAGTTAAGGACAGTTTCCAACTGGTTTAATCAATAGAGGATTTGAAGATCAATCTCTGGCTTCTGCGGATAATGATTCACTTGAGTAAAGTGCCATTGCATGAGACAGTCGAATATACTTTACAGTATATCGAGCAGCGTAACCTTGAAATTGGCCTACCTATGTCTGAGCCGAAACAACTTCTCTTATGCAGACCAGCTTCAGTTTCCAAGGAAAAGCTTGCCAACGAATAGACGGTGTGCCTGTTGGAAGTCTCTTGGAGCCTATTGCGGCGGATTTATGTCCCTAAGTTGGAAAACGAGAAGCACACACCTTAGAGCAGTTTGCATTATTCAGGAGATACGTTGATGACATCATAGGACATCGACAACTCCTTCCCTTCGATTCATGAACAGTTTAAACAAGAATATACATTTCTCACTGGAAGACGAACTAGACGATTGCCCCTTATGTTTAGACATTCTCATGTTGAGGAGGGAAGACAGTGGTTTCTAGGACTGCATACCGTAAGAGCATATATGGACCAGTCAACATCTGCATTCCCCTATTGTACCAGTTGAGATGTAGCAAAATCTACCTCGGCATAAACCGTTCAATCTGAGTTTTTTTAGTGCTTTCACTTTGCTAGTTTATCTCGAGAAATTATCTGGTTATTGACTCAATACGGAGATGGAGGAGCCACAGTTCGAATGGTTCAGTAAGTCTTACCGAGTTCCGCTGCTGATGCACACATGAGTTACAGTTATCCATGATCCCACAAGCGATGATAACTCTGTATCGGGTGCTCCATAGGGTATGAGGTAAAGGTCGGTGAAGTATTCTACCCACGGTTGTTTTAATACTGGATGTTGAATAAGGGAGAAGGGTCAGTGGCACCGCGGATGCCACTTTGCAGTATATTTCCCGTATGTGTTACCACGAAAATTGTGTAAATGAGCTACCTATCATAAAGTTGGAGAGCAGTGACACTTTTTCTGCTCTGAACTGACCTGGGCGGTGGTGTAGTCATTTCACATTATTACTCAACTTCTCTGTAGTCACTGGTGTCTTCCGGATTATATTCATTCCGCTCCGAAATAATGCATTTTTTCATAGATACCTGTTGGTTTTTACTTTAGTGAATTAAGACGGTTCATTTTTTTCGCACGATTACCGAAAACTCAAACTTCAATCAAACTAAATCTGTTTAGCTATCTTTCGTTTAGTCAATCTTGCAGTGATTAATAACTGTGAAGTGTTTTTTACCGGACAGCGGAAGGTCGAATCAGAGCGGTCGGATTTCCGCACCAGATCCTCAATGGCAGCTGAATTCTTTTCTCAACAATGTTTCCAGCCCAGTGAATCACGGGTTACGGCACGAACAGAAACTTTGCTGTTACCATGGCCATAAGAGTGATTGCCCTATGTGACACCTTTTACAGTCTCCTCATTTCCTTATGGACTGTCTTTTACTCACATTTTCACACTTGGTTTATTCACTCTTGTCTAAAATTTCTCATATTGTGTCCCCTTCACACATGTTACCTGGCTTGCCCTATCTATCCTGTTCCGATAGCTTGTTGTCCACTGAACATTTTGCACCCACGTTCATTCACCAACAGCTTAAGCGAATAAAGCGCGGTACGGCTGACGACGGATGGGGATACACAATATGTACCCTAGCCAACAAACCCCACCAGTCTGAATTCGATGAGCTAGCAGGTTTATCCCTGATAAACACCCAAACACACGACTACTTAGCTAGTGAATAGATTCGAATTTGACCTTATTATTCCGGGGGAATACCCTTACTTATTTCACCATTGTTACCGTTGTTAAGTATCCTTTCAAGTGTGCATTTCAATGTCAGAAATACGTAAGCAACCTCCTTCGATTCAAAGGAATCGGTTTTATTCGAGAGCAACTCGACCTCAATGGAATTTACTCATTGGGTTATTGAGGGCTTAGACTGACTCCACTCATGCAAAGAATCATGCTCACATTCACGTCCGGGCATGGTGACCGACTTTTCGATCCATCTCGACCTGATTCGCTTCCTTACCCGACCGACAGAGGTCAATTAACTCCGAGTTCATTCATTCGTATCTATGACGCACACTCGATCAACGATCACGGACATAACGTTCGCGAGTGGAACGGATGTGTGTGTGTGGGGGTGGGGGTGGAGAACAGCCCACCCACCCACCGCCGAAACCTTCAACCTTGTTCGGTAACTCACTAAAAATGTACTTTTGTTTGTTTACGGGGCAGTGAGTTCATTCGGACTGGACGGGGTTAAGACAGACCCGGTCGATTTGACGGCCGAAACACCAAAAATCTTGTGGGGTTCCTAATGGAGTGCGATTGGTTGGATTCACTTGAATTTACAACGGATTCACTTGAATTTAAAAAGGTATAGTAATTTGAGCCAATATGGAGCTTGCTCATTAGCATTCGATAGAATGAGTACATACTGAGGATCAGCTTGAAAGGAATACACAAAACGGGTCCTTGTGAAAGTCCTCATTATGATTTAGGAATGTGGTCTCCTCTTAAGGTGGGCAAATATCTCAAGTGTGTGTGTGTGTGGGTGTGTGTGGAATGCTTCAATGGTTTCACACTGCAGCGGCTTGCGGTGCAGACTGGATTAGTCGGTCGGCAGAAGATGACAGTCCGACTGAGTAATCTGGACCGTCTCGATGAAATTCCATAAACTGCATGAATGGCGAAATCTCTGTGAACACCGCTCACAGACTGAATACCATGGAATGCGCGAGATGAGCAAAAGGCACCTGCTACATATTCGGTATATTTGAGGAAACGAGTGCTGGGTATGTTCCAAAAGTCATTAGCAAATGATCGCACCAAATCACCCGGAAATCAACGGGAAGTACCTAGGAGATTCGATGGGTGTGTTCGGGGGATGAGGCAAATGTGCTGATCCTAGCCTACGAGATGATGCATAACACGGGGCAACACGATACAGTTTTCGGACGACTGTGATGAAGCAAGCTTCCCAGGTGACGTTAGCAAAGCGCTTTCGTGTCACAGCCTCTAGACTATAAACCATAAACCGATTGTACCAACCAATTGGAAGCCATGCGGCCCAGACAGAAGCTGTACAGCGCCAGAAATGCTAGCACGCGATTAGCAGAAGCTTGGATGACCAATGAACTTATTCTATGCATATTATTTAAACCCCGTGATTTCCTTCAATAAATAAACTGCCATTCCTGTGGCCTTTTCCTCGCGTCTCGGTTACGTGGACTACTGTCGTGTTCGTGCCAGTGTGATTCAGTGCTCACGTGGCATCCGTGATTTCTGATACGTAATCTATGCATACTACAATTACTACAGCAAACTAACATTTTGTAAATGATAAAGGTGTTGGGGTCTATTGATACACGTGCAAGCCTTCCCGAAATCACAAAAACCTTAGGTAGGCGAAAAGGCTAAATATACCAAAAATATTTTGAGGACTTCGAATCGTAAAGGTTTATCTCTTACCCCACTGTCATTTTACCCTTGGTGATCGGACAACATTGTGAGTGGTTGATCGGAGATTATTCGAGGGATATCGATTGCAGTAAGCTAATACTACATTTCAATTTAAATTCAAACACGGATGAAGCTAAAATTTATATTTGACTCCTTTTCTTTAAATGAATGAGTTGTAGTATAAATCGCAAGCCAAAATAACTTGTACAGGATCCGATTACATGATGAACTTCTGTATTTACAGAAGCGTCAAATTGAACGCTAAAACAGCGTAAGACTTTTCGACTCGGTTCGCTCTCATCGTGCATGCACAAAATGAAACCACGGCTTGAACAGCTGACTGGTGGCCACGGGGGCAGAATGGGTGCGTTCTAGCTCTGAGGTTGCCGATTTCTTCTTCCCTTGGGTTGCTGATCTTTTGGTGAGATACAATCAGATTGAAACAGTTGTTCAATGATTCTTAGCTTTTCAGTTCACATTTTCTTTGTTCGACGAAAGTCACTAGGCTTAATCATGACACTTGAATACAGGGAAAAGGTAGTGGTATTTCACCTGGCTAGTGAACTCTCAGCTCCCTCAATATTTCCCTGACTGAAAACACCATTCAGTGTACAATGCCAACGCTCATGCCCTCGTTACTCGTCAAAATAGCTTCTAATTCTTGCTTCATCATTGCTCTCCCACTGTTTTCACAGCCTGATCTATCCGGACAGTTCGGTCGGGGCTACCAGAAGTGAAACGAATGACTCTCTCTGTGCATGATCCCACACAGGGTGATGATGTTGTGCCTGGTAATTTATAGAATATTTATATTTGATCAATCGACTTTTCTTCCAAATGCGGAATGGTTGTCATCATGGATGGATTCATGACACATCTTGAGAATATGGTACCCAATGATAGGCCCAGTACCATTTGGTCATTTCATCCTATCCGCGGCATAGATAGGTATTCAACTCCGCTGGTCATAGACTCCAAGACCCTATCGTTTCAAGACAGTACGGTTATCTTATCGGAACAAACAAACGCAGTAAACTTTTCGGGGTGCAACTTTGCGCCCCTGGTAACCAATTCTCACTTTTCCACTCTAAAATAAAATGGGAAGTAGAAATTAGGTTGAACAGAATGTTTGCAGATCCAGTTATACTAACCCATTACTGGGATGACAGAATAACTAGCTCCAAGTGGGGTTTCCTTTGCACTATTCTACGGTCTGCATGAATAAAACTGAGCGAATCTTAAACTATCCATTAAATGCTAAATACGATAAGCTGATGTAGTGATCGAGGTACGCACCGATCACGAATTACGAATCTCGTGTTAGGAATCACGGACGCCACGTGAGCACTGAATCACACTGGCACGAACACGACAGTAGTCCACGTAACCGAGACGCGAGGAAAAGGCCACAGGAATGGCAGTTTATTTATTGAAGGAAATCACGGGGTTTAAATAATATGCATAGAATAAGTTCATTGGTCATCCAAGCTTCTGCTAATCGCGTGCTAGCATTTCTGGCGCTGTACAGCTTCTGTCTGGGCCGCATGACTTCCAATTGGTTGGTACAATCGGTTTATGGTTTATAGTCTAGAGGCTGTGACACGAAAGCGCTTTGCTAACGTCACCTGGGAAGCTTGCTTCATCACAGTCGTCCGAAAACTGTATCGTGTTGCCCCGTGTTATGCATCATCTTGCACTATTATCAGTGTTTTTAACGCTATAACATTTGACACAATTACCATGATCGAGGCTCAAGAATTATGGGTTTTCTCTTAAGTTTATTTGGTGATTCACTAAATTTTTAATCTTTTGCGAACGGTGTTTATTATCTCGGGACTGAGTTTTTTCTTTCCGAAGCATCGCAGGAAAACACTGAAGCCATGTGAGATGTGTCAGTTTGTTTGACCATACATGTACTGTTTAACCCCTCGCCAATTAACATGTGCAACATGAGACCACCACACATTATTTCTTAATCCAACTTTGCAAAATCAACGTTTGTGAAAAATAAAATGTTTCAAAATTCGTAAACCTCAGAATATTCCGAAACTTTTTGGTCTGATGTTGAGGCTAATGGACTACGGGTCGTGGTTAGAGCGTTGCGGGCTCAGGCTAAAGGATTAACGTCCACGGCCTAAGGATTATGGGTTTTGGCTAAGGCTTGATGGGAAAAGCGGTAGTACAGTGAGTTTCAGTTTCCGTGCGACGCCTGTGGATGCTATGCTTTGGTTGCCCATTTGGGTGAACAAAAGGAGGAAAACAGAAAGTTTGAAAGTAGGATCGAAAAGAGAATTGAAAAGTTCAGTGGGTTAATGAAGAAGAGAAATTGAGGAGATGCACGAACGCTACTGTTTATGACACTCAGCCATATCACTCAATGTCGCTAACCAACGGTCATCGTTCATCCCGAGGACCCCAGCCAGGAAATCTAACAGTACCCATATATGACCCAGTCTCCTGGTTAGGGTTTTCATACCCTCTTGACAGGTCTTAGCTTGACCCCTCTTCCGCTGCAGCAGCCGCAGCCGCTTTCTCCCTGAAAGCTTCTTCATTGGCCCATTCGGACATGAATTCCAGCTATTGTTACGATACCAGTCATTACTCACCCGGACCGTATCAGTCAATGAATAACGGACTGGATCGCACTGTCCTATCTCCTCATTCCCCAATCGAATGTGAATTCCGTAACTATGGGAAAAAAGAGCTCTACACAGCCCCCGTGCAAACTAATGCTTCTTATAGAACTGGATTGAAATCGACCAAAGAATTGGACAAAACAGAGTGCTAATGTGGTTCTCATTGCTTCAGGATGGCCGGCTCTCTCCCCTGTTCCTCGTTACAGACACACAATCGGTATACGTGACTTTATTTATTTCTAGATGATTCTTTGATGTTGTCTACACGTGATAAGACACTTGACTTTTGCACGTGTTCTCTGTTGCCAAGTACACGAGCAAATGCCCATTGATGATACATTGAAATGATAATATTTCTTATCCAAACACCCTTGATTATACACGAGCTAATAGCTTATCAATTGTTACCATGTATATGTTCATTTCATGCTACTTTGACATAAAAGTAATTCGCCAATTC